ATACATTTTGTAATGTAAAATTACATACACTATATGAAAAGGGATTTAGAAACATACAAATCCATACATAGTTTATAGTACATACCATTATAGAAATCTAAAACCTCGACTACTCATTTATAATTGTTGGTTAAGGTTAAGGTTGATTGGATTTATTCTCATGGTAAAGTTGGAGTTCTTGGATTTTTTGTGAGAGTAGACTAATGCATGAGATTTATAATTCCACAGAGGATCTGACCCGAAATCTGACTCGAGCAATATTATACAAGAGAGAGTTTTGATATATGATCGAGAGGTTTAAAGCTAACAACTTCTTGAACTTACTTCTTTTTTTTTTGTCGTCTTATTACATTAGATGTTAGCCAATTAACCTCACACAGGAGGGAGGGGTCGAATCCCTATACTACATGCCAAACTGAGTGGTTAACAACCACTGCACTAATGTGCGTTCGGCGAACTTATTTCTAATTCCAGATAGAAGTGTTCAATCTAATTTTTGCTCTGTAAGAAAATCTAAAATAATTTTTTTTTTCCCCAAAAAAAAAAGAAAGGCAAAACAGAAACATGAAGATGAGCAATATTTTTTTTTTGGTCACAAGATGAGCAATATTTATAGTTGTAAAAACAAAAAAAGAAGACATAATTAGAGGATAGAAACACCAAAATCCAAATCAACTTTCAACAACCAAACAAGAAGCCAAACGATATCAAACTAAACTTGTATCTCTGTTTCTTCTCTTTGACCTCGAGGAACCGGGACCAAACTTGGAAAATAGGTGCAATGCAAAGGCCAATGATCAACCACCGAATCTAGTTGGATTTTCCTCACCAACTTATTTTCCCCCACAACATAGATCCAAGCCCGGCCAATTTCATCGCAAGAACACACAACAAGCCTTTTGTCGTCGATGAAGTAACTTGGTTGAGAGTTGGATCCGGTATGTACTAACTCCGGCAAGTTAGGAATTGACACTTCCATGAAATTCATCCAAACAACATCACCATATTTAATCTTGCTCTTGGTCACCCAAATCTCAATCTTCTTTGTTATGTGGCATTGCTTCAACAACGAAAGCCGATCTTCCTTAAAGGCCCCGAGGATAAGAGCATCACTTGGATGGTTCTTGAAACATGGTAGATCACAAAATTTTAAGAAGTGTTCCCTCGAAAAATCAAACTCATGTACGTGGTACAATGGATTAGTCTCGTCATAAAAAGCAACCCAATACAAATTTCCATTCAACGATACACCATTTGTGCTGTGTAACGTAGCCGGTTTTCCTCCCTCACTATTACCACCAGATTCCCCCTTTATGTCTTTCCACGCATCGGTAGCAAAGTCATGGATGTTCCACCATGTCTTAGGGTCTAACTCCTTCCAGTATGACGCAATGGTCTTGTAAACTTTTTCCTTATAACTATCATAACCTATGCCATCAATTTGCAAACCAGGTTGGGTCTTGATCACTCTAGTTTGGTTCAACCACGGGTTCCAAACCGTGGCAACTTTGTCCATGCAACATAGCAAAAACTCGTTGCAATCAACTACGTTTTTAGGTATATGAGATTCTAAACCAGGAACATCCAGTGTTAACTCACGTACCACTATCTCGGGATCGATGCTTACCGAATAAATATTGGATTTGGTCGTCAAGATGAATCTAAACGTTGACTTGTGGTTGTTGATAAAGGTCTTGTCGTTGAAGAGAGAGTTCCATCTTTTCGATACGATCCTGAAGCAAACAAGAGATTTAGGAGGGACATGAGAGAGTATCTCTTCGATCAACTCCCACGGAAGCTTCTCCTCATGCGCCATTTCCTAACTAGGGTTTTAACTTTGATCTCATCATGTTCGTGAATTTATATACTACTGAGATTTTGTTTTACAAAACGATTAATAATTTGTTAAGATATTCACATGATCATAGTTGATGAGTATGACACTTGTTATTTCTCCTTCTTTTATTTATTTATTTTAAAACCTAGAACCTCAACCCTAATCTTATAAAACTCGGATTTCAATAAACAACGGCAATTTAATCAACTTACATTTTATATGTTACATTTAATTGGCATTTTTGGAATTTCCCTTTCTTTAACTTTTATAAATATTTCTTTAGACATTTTCAAAGATGAAATTTAACGTGGAGCTGATGTAGGCGAAAATCACTTTAATTTTATAGCACTTCTCGAGTACTACTATTAAGAAGACACTACTTTTTTTTTTAACCTACTGAGTACATTTGATGAGATGGGTAAGCTATTCGTAGGAGAGATGGTTGGAGCCGTATTGGGATAATGCGAGAAGGGACTTATCGGAAAGAAGAGGAGCAATATCACTAGTTGCAAAACAAAAACATGAAGAGGAACAATATCACTAGTTGCAAAAAACAAAAAACAAAAACATTTCGAGGATAAAAACACCAAAATCCAAATCAACTTTAACTTCTTCAACAACCAAACAAGAAGCCAAACGTAATCAAACTAAACTTGTAACTCTGATTCTTTTTTTTTATCTCGAGGAACCAAGACCAAACTTGGAAAGTAGGTGTAATGCAAAGGCCAATGATCAACCACGGAATCTATTTGGATTTTCCTCACCAAATTATTTTCCACCACTACATAGATCCAAGCCCGGCCAGTTTCATCGCAAGAACACACGACAAGCCTTTTATTGTCGATGAAGTAACTTGGTTGATGAGTCTTTGATCCGATATGTACTAAATCCGGAAAGTTAGGCATTGTGACTTCCATGAGATTTATCCAAATCACATCATCATCATTGTTAATCTTGTTCTTGGTCACCCAAATCTCAATCTTCTTTGTTACGTGGCATTGCTTTAACAACGAAAATCGATCTCCCTTAAATACCCTGAGGAAAAGAGCATCGCGTGGATGGTTCTTCAGACATGGTAGATCACAAAACTTGAAGAAATTTTCGCTCGAAAATTCAAACCCATGTACGTGGTACAAGGGATCAGTCTCGTCATAATAAGCAACCCAATACATATTTCCATTCAACGATACACCGTTTCTCGCGTGTATCATAGCCCGTTTTCTTCCCTGGCTATTACCACCAGATCCCGACTTTACGTCTTTCCACACATCGGTAGCAAAGTCATGGATTTTCCACCATGTGGTAGGGTCTGACTCCTTCCAATAACACGCAATGGTCATGCAAACATTTTCCTTATTACTATCATAAACTATGCCATCAATTTGCAAACCAGGTTGGGATTTGATCACTCTAGTCTGTTTCAACCATGGGTTCCAAATCGCGCCAACTTTATCCATGCAACATAGCAATAACTCATCGAAAACAACTAAGTTTTTAGGTATTTGACATTCTAAACCGGGAATATCCAAGGTTAATTCACGCACCACTATCTCGGGATCGATGCTTACCGAATAAATCTTGGATTTGGTCGTCAAGATGAATCGAAACGTGGACTTGTGGTTGTTGATAAACGTCTTGTCGTCGAAGAGAGCGTTCCATTTTTTCGATACGGTTCTGAAGCAAACAAGAGATTTAGGAGGGACACGAGAGAGTACCTCTTCGATCAACTCCCAAGGAAGGTTATGCGCCATTTCCTAACTAGGGTTTTAACTCATCATGTTCGTGAATAAGTATATCTCCTAAATATATATTGAGGTTTTATTTTTTTTCCAAAACGATTAATAGTTTGTTAAGATATTCACATGATCATAGTTGATGAGTACGACACTTGTCATTTTCCCTTCT